AGCAGGAATCTGCCATTAGAGATCAAAGAGACCTATGGAATTAGCTGTGATGTTCTCTTCCCTTGTCCTACTGTGTATGTATGTATCAGTGTCTAAACACTGACCAAGAGCATGGTGAGAAAACAGTCCTTAACCATCAGTCTCTCTTACTATTTAGCAGCTTTGATTTCCCAGCACAGATTTTTCTCAACCCAACTCTCTACTGTCATGAGAAGATTTTCAGCAAAGGCACTGCAATTGCACTAAGCTCCAGGAAGCCTCAGGGATACCTCTCAGCTCCACCATGCATTCTTAATTACACATAAACACCTTGTCGCACTTCTGCTTTCTACTCATCTGTGAAGGAAGCAATAGTGCATTTCTCCTCTCCCACCTTTCATCTCTTTTGCCTGGTTAGAATTGGATGCTTCCACTGGGGAAGTTGAGTGAATAGGGCAAAGAACAACTTACCCGCAACACAAGTTTCATCTTAATGAAGCTGTCTGAACTGGAATGATCCAGCTGAAATCTCTGATCCAGAGTCATGTTTGGGTCCTTAAGTAAGTGGGAGAGACATATCACTGAAGTTCCCAGGACACTATCCCGATCCTTGTCTTTTATCTAGAGAGGGAAAGAAGTTGTAAGTTGTTATCAGATGGCAAACTGGGAAGCATACCACTAAGAAGGGCAAAGCAAGAAGGTAGTTCAGACAGAGACCAGAATTAGCTTATTTACTTCAGAACATGCTATCAAGTGTGTTTACTTCCAAATGGGTGATGCCAGTATTACAGGAGTGTAATAAATCTGTATTTTTGGAGTAAAACTCTAACTATACAGAGAAGTAATTGCCTTAGCAGAAAACCTAGGCCCTGAGATTTACTTGATCTTCCTTACTGCCTCTGGGGAAAATGTCCCAAGCAGCTGGGATGACAACTGATCAATCTTTTATAAGCTTTTTAGGTAAATAGTTTGTTTAGCCTATTGAACCTCAGCACACTTAAATTCAAATCCACTTCTGTAACTCAGTGAACAGACACAGAACTGGCTGGGACTGCAATGTTTGCTAATGAAATATACAATTTCTTAAGAAGCCAGAATACCAAGGTGAAGTGAGAGGAGTCTGGTTGAGAATTAGGAAGGCTGCAATCTCTGACAGCCAAATATGCATGGCTTTACTACATACAGACCTGTATAAAAACCCATTTGCATTTTGCAGCCAAAAAACATTCCACATTTGAACTGAGATGTTACGCATTAGGTGATCCCAGAGCAAAGGTAGATACCAGCATCCCTGACAGAGAATCACCTGTGCAACAACAGGTGCTTCTTACACTTTTTAAATAGGAGGACCCCAGTACAAGCACACAGAAACAACCAGCACAGGGATCACATCCACCATGAAACAAGGTTTCTTCGTATGTGTACTTCATCTTCAGAGGAAAGGCTTCTCTCTCACCTCAACGTGCAGTGACTGGGAATGAGCACTGTGGACAAAGAAGGTGAAAGCCTGGCCCCAGGTGGGATCTTTGCTGAAATTGCAGGTCTGCAACAAGAAGACATGGGCACAAAGGTTAGCTTATTCTGTTAGCAGCAAAGAATACCTTGACACTGATCACCAGTGACCCTCTTGTTTTAGTCAGTGATGCTATATCCCCGCTGTACAGAGAGAGTGACATTTCCAGGTCAGAAATGTACAGAAGCAAAGTCTCTGGTAAAACCAGAGCAAGGTCTGCAAGGTGTGGAAATGCTGAAGAACAAGTCAGGCGAGTTGCTGTTGGACCCAGCCAGTGGTGCCTGGACCAGCAGCCTGCCTCACCTGCAGCCAGGCACTGCTCCCTCCCTCCCACCTCTCCACTCAGGGAGAGCCTGAGCACTGCTTCCCACCTGCAGGCATCCAGAGCAGCTCCCAAAGCTGCAGTGAGCTGTAGAGGAAGGGCAGGAAGGCTGGAGGGGCAGTCTGAGGGGCGCAGAGCTTAGGGAAGAGTAGGAGGGCACAGCTTCAGCATCATCCACACTTCAAGGATGAAAGCGTATGGAAAGCACCCGCAGGGTCTATGGCTGAGGCTGCTCCATAAACCAGCTGCTTCTGCCAGGTCATGAGTGCTGGCAGCAAGGGGAAAGGAGCAGGGAGAAGCTGGAAGTAAGACCTAGTTTGGGTGAGGCAGGTGATGTGGTGTGGTTTGTAAGCAAAACCCAATTTCTGACTGGAGAAGGTAGAAGAAACAAAGGTGCCAGTCCTGTATGTGTAGCCAACAGGATTCATCCCTATTTTTGAGTGTCACTCATCTGCAACCAGCTGCGAGGCAATAAACAGCAGCTACTGGAAGGGCAGACCTCAGGAGTTACTTATACTCTTCAGGCAAAAATGAATATTAAATAGTAAAAAAGGAACTGAAAGTAAAGCAGAAAACATTCAGATACATGCTTGTCCAGGTAAAAAAAAATTCAATTAAGCTTCTATGAAACACAGGAGCCAGGAGACTCTGACAAGGGAACAAATGCCACTTAAATCCAAATGACACCCTGCCCTAAGCAAGCATGAGCCAGATTGCAGACCTATAATTTTTTCCTCTGCAGTCTTCACAGAGCTAAGGTATCTTGGCCAACATAACTTCATGGCCATGAGCACAAGCACACACAGCTGTACAGCAGCTGATCAGACCCCCACTAATTAAGCACGACTCAGTGACAGAGCACTTCCACATCCTGGCTCACCCCCACCTCCTGGCCGCTGCAGCCATCACCATGACTACAGATCTTCACATCAGTTTCACTAGTCCTATCCTTCTTAGGGGCTACGTGGAGATAAATACTTCCTATTTTATGGGTGGCTAAGGAAAGCAGAAGAGTCAAACAGCCTCACCTTGCTTTTCTGCGTCTTGTTTCCTACCGTGAGCAGGACGAAGGAGGAGGGTTCTCGTTCTGTCTTCTGTAAATTAATACAAGAGGGGGAAAAAAAAAAAAAAGAAAGAGAAGAGGCATTTTTAGTTTACTGGAAGTAATGTTAAACCACTGCTCTTACTTGAAATAGGTCACAAATCCTTTCCAGAAGCAACAATCCTGAACCTTTCACACTGTACTCTTCTGCACTAGTGCACTAAGGGTGTGGATCTGGTCTTGGCACAGCAAAAGAGTACACAACAGGTCCAGAATTAAGGATTATTGAATGGCATGTGTATCACAGTGCTGGTAGCTCATCTAAATTGTAAAGATCACATTAGGAGGGGAGCTACACAGAGAGAACAAGAAGTTTCATCTTTATCTGTTGCTTAGAGCTGTGGCTGTGTGTAGCTTGTTCAAGAAAAAAGGGAGAAAGACACTCTCCCCTACACTTCCATTCATATCACAGCAGCAAAATGCAGTATTTGGAGGGAAAAAGTAAACAGAAGCAAAGGGAGAGGAGGTATGAATGACAGAGAGGCTTCTGAATCCCTCTAAAACTGATGGGGTAGGAATCTGGTGGTCAGATCTCCAATGGATGGGAAGGTTACCATAAACCAGCATATCCCTCCCATCCCAATGTGGGAGGTCAAGCTGGAAGAGCTCCACATGTAAAGAGCCCCTGCAGCAGCAGAAAGGATAACGTGACTTGGTCTGAAGTCTGGAAGCACTCTGTCTAAAGTATAAACCAAAACTCAAGATAAACCTACACAATCAAGTATTTCTGTGCTGCATTCCCCCTTGGAGACTTTCTCTGGGGTGGGGCTTTCAACCACTATTTTGAAAGCTTGGTCACTCATATTCTTTTTTTTTTTTTAACCACAGGCAGTTTCAGTTGCTATGATACCACATCATCCAGAAGGTTGTTTTGCAAGCACGGGAGAAGAATATCAAGTTTACCTTGAGGTACTTGTTATTTTTTATCTTCTTTGCTCCACATTCACCATTCGAATACTCAAAGTGGTTTTTCTGAATTAGTAAAAGAGTATTTTTAAATTATTAATCTGTGGTCTTTTTAAAAAAAAAAAAAAACAACAAAAAGCTTAGGAGTGAAGGCTGCCTGCACATGGTCTGCACTTACTGGGAGGTTGAAGGCACTGTCCAAGTAGACTATCAGAATGGCTGTAGATAGGCCCTTCTTATCCTGGGAAGGCCAGGAAGGATAACACAAAACAAAACACAAGGTAGACACGATTACTCATCAAGGACAATGGAAAGCACAACACAAATCCAAAGGACAGTTTCTGAAAGCTAAGCACCTCTTCACCCTTCTCCTAAAACTTGCAATTTAATGGAGCACAAATCAGTACAACACGACAGTTTTAAGCAGAGCAGTAAAAAGAGGTGTAAGTCTTTCCAATTCACTGCTCATAATGCACTTCAGTGTCTCTAGTGCAGAACTGGTTTGATTCCCCAGTGGAGCAAGACACCTAAAATACATGCTCAACCACATACATGAACATCAGCAATCCAGTGTTGGCAGAAAAAAAACCTGGAAACAAATTGTATTCACTTCACTGAACTCAAATGCTTTTGCTCAGTTATGAAGAAACAATATCCTTGGGAAATGGGCTTTATCCAAGCAATTCTGCTGGACAAGTAAGTCATTACCATTTGGAACCATGGTTCTACCAAGCACTAGTGCTGGGAATTTGTCAACACAGGTTACAGACAGGGGTCCTAAAAGACCCTAGACGAAGAGGGAAGGGAAAAACTGTCAAAAAATAGAACAGTGAGAGGCCACTTTGCAGTGAGTCAAACAAAGCTTTGCTAATTCAAGCAAAAATAGCTGCCAGATTTGAGTAACTCTTGAATTACTCAGGGACCTGGAGCAAGCAAATGCCCTTCAACTTGGGGTGGGGGAATCAAATCAAAACTTTGTCAGACCAAAATAAATCCCATGAGTTTGCCTGGGGTTCCTAACTGTACACAATTCCTTGTTGATCACTGGGTAGGGATCAGAACATCTGAATCCTTTGAGCAAATATACTCACCTCATGTAGCTTTTCTTGGTCATTTACCAGTGAAAGCCATTCCAGTTTTAAATGCAAGTGTCCGCTTGTTGTCTTACTTAAGGGAAACCACTAAATGGAGACAACAAAGAGTAACTTGAGGACTGTGAGGTAGAATAATTGATATATATGTTGCAGTCTCTGAGACTTTTGTTCAACAGACAATATGAATTCTACTTGGAGTGCATTAGCTTGCATTTTTGACACTGAGATTGTAGCATGTCCATCTACTTAGAAACACAAGCCAGAAGAAACAAAACCAAGATACCCATACACACGCAAAGCACATGGAAAGCACATGGATGTTTCCAACCATCAGCAGCACAAGACAGGCACCCCAGCATTGTTTGCAGAGTGCTGGGTTGCAGGATGGACCACAGTAAGATTGGATAATTTCTTCTCTCAGCAGGCAGACTGGTTCACCAAACCTTATCTGCAGCCTTGGTACATGTGGTAGACAAAGGACACAAGACATTGACACAAGATCCCACTGCTGGCTCAGCATAACCTCAGGGCTGTCTGAGGTTGCCAGCTTTACTGTAAAATTATTGTAACAGCTACTTCAAGTTTTCTGAGCAAAGGTATTTTCTTTCTGAGAAAATAACACTGTGCAAGTGTGCAAGGAAGCTTTAAGCTCACAGAAACAATGAAGTACCAGAGGGAGAGCACAAATGAGCACACACCACCAAAAGCATTTAGAAATAAGCTGTGATCTTTACCTCATCAACAGTTCTGTCATTCTTTACATCCACCAGGTTTATAAGCAAGCTAAAAAAAAAAGCAAACATTCCAGTGTGTATTTAAGCATCTAGGACACTGCTGTGAGGGGCAGGGGGAAGGAGAAAAGAACACCACCAAAGCAGCTCACACTCAAATCTATTCCAAATAGCAACCTCAACACATTACCTGCATACATGTGCACTGGAAAGCACCTGCACTTCTAAACTCTCTCCCTCTGAAATACTTGTAAAACTAAAATAAATTTGAAATAAATCTCAAGCTGTGTAGTGACCATCACTTCTCATGGCTTCCTAGGATTCCCTGCAGGAGTCTGGGCCAATTCTCTACCTTGTTCAAAGTTAGTTGCAGTAGGATCTACTAACTTGGTATCAATATCTGGACAAAGGGAATAGTTTCTTTCAATATTAAGTATGATATTTCTTTCAATATTTCCAGTATGAATAATCTGGGTGTCCCATTTCAGAGCTTACTGGACCCTGAGCAAGGGGTTATGCTGATTTACCTGCCCATAAAGTCATCTTTATCTGGATCTTCATCATACAAGTCCACTTCTAAGTCCTGACCATGCAGTTCATGAACAACAAACTGGAGGAGAAAAAGGAATTATTAAAAATCAGAAGTATTCACATACGTTCACATAGGCTCAGGCTGTGGACAAGGACATTCCCTGCTGTTTCACAGCTAATCATGTAACAAATGCAATTGATTATAGGTTAAAATATTTCAAAACCAGTTTGCTTGGTTTTAAATTACAAGTTAAATCCCTCAAACTGCTAACCCTAATAAGCAGAGAAGAATCAATGCTAGAGCAGACTACAGCTGCACAGAGTGCTGCTCTGATGGATATTTAAAGCAGTGTTCTGCACCTCCTCCAAAAACCCACATATATAAATCACATCAACCTGAATGACACCCCAAGTTTGCAATGTAAATTTGAACTCAAGGGGCAGAAACGCCTCGTCGATCAAGTAACAAGCAAGTCCACCTGCTTCAGTGCAGTCAGCTAAGAGAAAGTCCTCCAAGCACAGGGATGTAAGCAGCTGTGCATCCTACAGATGTAAAGATCAAAGGATACAGTACCTCAAAGGTCTCATTCCAAATGGGATTAAGATCTCGGGGAACTGTCTTGCTCCGATACTGCACCGCGCCGAGGCGGAGAAGAGCGTAGGGGTCAGACTTCCCCCTGATTGCACCAAGGAAACTGTCTTTCTGGACAAGGTTTTCAGCTTCTAGCAGATGAACTCTTATTACTCCCTGAATAAAAGAAAAGATATAAAATCGGTCACGAAAATGTGATCTTTGAATAATTATAACATGCTACTTCCCAAAACTAGTTATTTAAGGCAGCAAGGGTAGTCATCATGACAGACTGGTAAAGGCATGTATTTTGGTGTAGTTTATTTCCAGTGACAGCTGTATTAAAACACTTTTTCCACCGTTTACCTTGATCTAAACCAGATACAATCTAGATAATTGCATAGGAAATACTCTTCAATTTGTATTTAAACCAGAAACATACATATGCACACAGGATTACAGCCACAGCCAGATCAAGGGTAAAGATCAATTCCCACTGACTGAAGGAGGAACTAAGAATCCATTGGCAGTTCCTTATTTTATTGCAGTGGCTATTCAGCTTCAATATGGTCATGTAAGTTTGCAATAGGGTGCATCCTTTTGTCATTCATTGACATTTACCCTCATCAATGAGTCTATTAGGTATTTGAGGGATGGAGGAGACTGAAGGTCTGGGTATGACAAACATTTAGGATATTTGTTGTTGGGCTTTTTCCCCTGATTTTCTTCTGTAACAGAGATGTCACCCTCTGAGCTCCTTATTTGCCCTCCTTCACAGCACTAGTGAAAAAATCAGGCAGCCTGACACTCATTGCTCAGGCATTTGCCATCTCCAACTGAAGATCTGAGATATTCTCAAATTAAACTGAAGGTTTAAACCTGTAAATGTGCTCAGCATCTAGGCAGACTTCTTATGGCACGTAGAGAGGGTAGGACCCTCTCCAAATTATGAACCATCCAACACCTGCTTTTGTATTTTGAAATATTGCCTACAGAAGCCTGCAATCCAGGTTGAAACAGCTGAAGCAGGAACCTAAGACACTGAGCTTGCATGAATCCACACTGCAGCAAATGCACACTTAGATTAACACTCTCACTGAGAAAAAAACAACTCACATGTGGGATGGGGAACCTCAAGTGGGCAATGTTCATGTTCTTCTTCAGAGGCACTGTGATCCTGTTTGGTAGAACCAGCCGTGAAGCAATGAAGTCTTGAATTAGTGAGTCTGACATTACACTGCAGGTAGGGTGAAAAAAAAAAACAAACAGCCTAAATCTCTACAATTGATCACAGTTTCAGTTAAAATGAAAGAATGAGGCAGAGTATGAGAAACGGGCACTGCAGAACTGCCTAACCTGCCCCCAGCTGCACACGGGCAGAAGAAACTCATGTTTGTGACGTGTAGCTCAGAACAGGAGGAAATGGAGAAGACAGTTTAAGACCAGAACCAATCACCAAGGATGGATTGTAGATCCCTGAGGAAGGCTAAGCTGTCTCCAAGCCATAATTCAGGCCCAGCTGAGCTGCTGCAGAGCAGAAGATGAGCATGGGGAAGACTCTCAAGGTCCCTTTCAATCTTACTCCTTGTTGTTCTGCATGTAATCACCACTGCCTTGTGGCACACACAGTGCAGTGCCCACTTGCACACAGGGATGTTCCAGGCCAGGGTCACTAGGACTGGGTGTGAATTTGGTTCCAGCAGGTTGTAAGTGATCAACAGGAGCTTAGGTCATATGACGAGATCATCATGCACCCAAACAAGTTATAGAAACCCATGTGCCTTTTGGTTTTCTCTGGGAATGCTGACACCAGAGATGGACAAGGTGGAATGTGGAAGTTTCAGCACTTCACAGGGGGCTCAAGACTCTGAAGTAGTTTGTTTTTCGACTTAGAACAAGGCCCAGTGCACACTGGTGTCTGCTCTTGGCCACATGCTGACACCTGACTGCAACATGGAAGGACAAAGCACCCACATTCAAAACAAAGGATGAAATTCTGTATCTTGGTGTATCTTGCACTAAGAAGGAAAATCTTGTTTGAAGTAACTGCACCTTCAGCACAGAGATGATCACACTGGCTGAACTGAGGATACTGTGCCTTGTCTTGGGAGTTCAGGGAACTTTCCAGTCTAATTAAAAATTGCAAACTTTTAGCATTTGAGTTTCAGTCTTTTCTGTAGAAGCGCTCTTTATGTATGGCAGGGACAACTAATTTCACCTGCTTGTCCTGAGCAAGAAGTATGTGTCTATCACTGATGTCTGGTCCTCTGCAGGTGATTAATGAGAGGATTTCAATATAGTGTTACAACTTGGCATGAGCAGAAGACAATACTAAGAGAAAAACCAAAGAGCACCAAACATCTGAAAGACTTTTGTCCTCTTGATAAATCTAGTGTTGATAAAGCAGCTTCTCAGGGTAAGACTGTGCAACAAAGTTGTCACAGCTCACAGATGAGGCTGATTTCACACAGGAGGAAAGTCCTCTCTTACACCCAAGTACAAAACCAGAAGCCTGAAAGCCCTTGTTCAGATTGTTGGCTTCCTTGTCAAAACAAATGAGAGGATTTCAATATAGTGTTACAACTTGGCATGAGCAGAAGACAATACTAAGAGAAAAACCAAAGAGCACCAAACATCTGAAAGACTTTTGTCCTCTTGATAAATCTAGTGTTGATAAAGCAGCTTCTCAAGGTAAGACTGTGCAACAAAGTTGTCACAGCTCACAGATGAGGCTGATTTCACACAGGAGGAAAGTCCTCTCTTACACCCAAGTACAAAACCAGAAGCCTGAAAGCCCTTGTTCAGATTGTTGGCTTCCTTGTCAAAACAAAAAAAAAAAAACAAACCACCCCACAGGAATGTCACAGAATTGTCCCCTCTCTCAAGGTTCAGGGTACACCCAACTAAACACAGCTTGTACATGTGGACAGACAACTGCATGCAGTTTCTTTCCTAACTAAGCCAAATTCATTTGGAAGGGAGAGTTCTTGTTCAACCTGTACTTCAGCCTATTCACAGCCAGGCATGTTTTGCTCCCAGCTTTCATGTACAGTGCTGATGAACCAGCAAGGGTTTCTGTGTTCAAATCCCTGGGAGAGAACCAGGGAGTGAAAATTTAGGACACCAAATTTGCACTTAATTATATGAGAGGCTGTAGGTTGGAACACCTACCTATCTTCTTCCTTGCAAGGAAACCATGTTAGAAAATAACAGATTCCTCTGACATAAACTGGAGCTCCGAGGGCAAACTTTGGGGCAAAAGGCCACTCTGGCCTCAAATTAAAAAAAAAACAAAACAAAAACTTCCTTTCACCCAACACCAAAGGTTGTTCCCTTGTATGTTGCCCTTTAATCCATAAACTGGCACCTGAAGTAGCCAGCCACTTCCTATGAGTCTGCAAACCATGAGCTGCAGAAGAGAGGAAAGCAGAGGTGTCTGCATTTGCATTTAAAGGGAGAAAGGCAATGGCTGAGTAACCAAATATATTTTGTTCTTGTGTAACAGATTTTCTCCTCCACACTGACGAACAAGAAGCAAATCTCCAATCTGCAGAAACAGTTTGAAACTTACAGTACTGAAACCTGCTAAGATTTTCATCCTCGCTGTGCAAGATTTATGCACAAGATCAACCCAAGAGAAACTGGGAAGGAGCTACATTTTCTGAAGAACCTAAAGGGTGAGCAGATTACAGAGAAAAAAAAAATAATAATTAAAAAAAGATAACATTTCTCCTCATAAACCTTGTGAGGTTTTCTTTATCATGGATTGTATTTCCCTTTATCAGAGGGACTGCCACTCTGATACCTTGCCTTTTTTCACTATAAGGTAAATAAACATAAGCACAGCACCTTTTACACAGCACTCTTAAGAACAGATTTGATGATTACTGAAAAAAAGCCATCCCAACTTCCAAAGGCTTTTTAAAGAAGCAAAAAGGAAGCAAAGGAGACACTCACTTAATCCCCGGGACATCCAGGAGGTTGCTCATGCCTGCCCAGTTGATTTCCAAGTGCTACAAGAAGATTGGGGGGAAAAAAGATATACAGGACCATTAAAATTTATTTCAGAACAAATGTAGAATTTAAAGAGGAAGCAAATGCTTCTGAAACAAAGCCAGTTGTTCAAAGAAAGCAAAACCTGCACCGCTAAGTGACTCCATCTGACATTAAAACCAACACACAGTATCAATTTCTTTATCTATTTTACCTGCCATACCAAAAGAGAGTATCACTGGCACTTGTCCTGCAAGCACAGGGAAATCCAGCATTCAGCCCCCAGCGATGGCCACTGCCACATGCCCTGGGGAGTTCTCCCTAGACTCTGAAGTTGTTTCCTCATCCTTTCACTTCAAGGTTGGCCCGGGCCCTGAGGCAGGGGGATTTACAAACATCACCTGACTTCAGGAGTCTGTATTTCTATTCACATAATAAACAAAAAGGGTTTATTTCATGTGCTAAAATAATGCTACTACATCTAAACACAAAAACACATCATCCAAGATCAAAAATGTTTGACTTCCATGAACTCATGCAGAGCATAACCCACAAGCAAACAAAGCTGTGTGCTAGAAGAAAACTGGTTCTTACAAGACTAGAAGGTTTCTCATATTTTATTAACCACAATTCAACTACAAGGCACGTGACCTTAAGCAGGCAAGCTTTCAAAACACAACATGACTGTATGGTTCACAAGATGACTACATCTAAAAATGTATCGATGGGAAGATTTAAAACCCACCTGCCAAGAACCTTGCAGCAATGATTTCAAAGGCCTGTGAAATGTCTGCTGTGCTGTCACCATTGAAAAGTCCTCCCAGTGAAGAAAGTTAACTTTTTAGGCACTACTACAAGAGGGCAGGGTAAATCCACTGCTATTCTCTTGGGGTTCAAAAGAGGCACTGAACAACCAGGAATTTTCTATTTAAACACCTGCCCTGTGAGTCACTCACAGCCATGCACTTTGGGCTACCAGAGATGGAGAGCTCGTGTCACTTGCTGAGGACCTATCCACACATTAAGACAGCCCAAGTGCCAAGAAGGCTGCAGAGTGCGGATCCCTACTGACTCACCGGCTTCTGCATAAAAAACAGGGTCACTGCTCCAATAAAAGGTGGGTCGGTCAGGAGAGGTTCCAGGATCACCCGCAACGTCCCATACAACTGCAAACAGAATAGACCAAGGCAAACTGAGTCTGAAGGTACTCTGAGGATGCAGTTTCAAAACTGTGAGCTTTTTAGTTATGGAGATAGTAATTTTATTTAGCATTTAATAGCAACAATAACCTTCTCCCTCCCCAGCCATGGCTATTGATATCGGGCAATGTTTTCTAAGCTTGTGGAATCTCCCTGCAATCCTGACTGCCACACAGCAGAGTGATCAGCCTCTTAGTTTTCAACACTGTATTAACAGGTTGTTGGTCTCATCCCCACCAGTTTTTGAGCACCCTGCAGAACTGGCTCTTCTGAAGTTCTCTACCAACATACAGCTCCTCTGGACTCCAGAGGCAGGAGGTGGCCTCCAGGACCTCAACGCTCTAGCGCTGACCCTGTTTAAGACTCACACTAAGAAGCTCAAGAGGGGTATTTAGGTGCTTTCCAAGGAAGGCACCACTGCCCCAGCCAAAACACGAGGTGATAAAGCCAGTAATTCCAAGTGTGCTAGCTGGTGGTTTCCCAGTTAAGTGTCACAACCTCCCCACTGGGACATGCCACCTCCTGCCACACACAGCCTTGAACAGACAATGTTAGCACTGCACGCACCTGGATGCCTTTCACTCCAAGATTAAATTTTGCTATGTCCATGTGAATCTCACAGTCCCCTGCATAACTGAAAGAAAATTCTCACGTTATTCCACATTTTGCAATAGTCCCAGGAGAAATTTGGGGCTGCACAGAGTATAAACTAAATCAGTTGAATGACGGACAATGTGACCCCACAGACAGAGATGGATTTTCAAGCAAGTGAAATGGGAAAGTTGGGCACGTTGAAGAAGGGTCAGATCTTCATGAGAGAAACCCTGCAGTCAGCTGGCACATGGATCTTCCTGCAAAATGACAAAGCAACATCTCTACTTCAAGGTTACTTTTCCATTCTTAAGACTGGCAGTTGGCTGAGGCAAGCTTGCTCCAAGGAGGGTATCAAGAGTCTCACTGGAAATTTGAAGTCACAAGAGGGCACAAACCAAGTGTCCTCTTGCTCTCTTCTCTGCTGAAGGCCTGATACCACCCCACAGCCTGGTGACCCAGCTCCCCAGCTGATACAGAGCCATCCTGCCACCACATATGGGCTCCTCACCTTGTCAACAATCACAAAGGCCACTGATAACCCTCCTTCACAACCCAAAACCCCATTTGAAGAACAAATTCACCACTAGAAATAACCTGGTTTTCTTGAGGCTGAATTAAAAGACAACAAGTTAGATCAGGTTTTGGTCAGTTGCCATGGAGAACATCAGGCTTTAAATAAAATGAATGCCGAGTGTGGTATTTTTGCAATTTGGAAACCACTTTAGACTTTCAATAAAGGTACAAACATCACCTTATGCAAAAAAACAAATAGCTACTCCCCAGGGAGCAGAACCTAGATTTCTTGATGCCTCTAGCAGAAAACAATTGAAGGGAGCTACCAAGTTCCCTTTCAGTCCTCTGAGAAACAGCCCTTTCTGGATGCAAACACACAAACATCCTGCAGCTAAAGCAGGGAGTAAAGGCACCTTAGGACAGTGAATGTGCTGTGCTTGCTGCCTGCACCATTTCACCTCACAATCAAAGGAAAAAGACAAGATTTTTGCTGTGACCACATGTATACAGGCAAATTGTGCTGCAGTTGCCACTAATTCACACTGCAATTCGCACATAGACAGATTCCTTCCCTTCCCAAAAGACCATGCCAAGAATGTGTAACCCTCTGATTTTGTCTCCATGTCTGCAAGCAAAGTTTTGGAAAATTTGTTTACAGAGAGTCACTTAGCAGCATTTTAAAAGCTCAGAACACACATATTCAAGCCTTTAATGTTAGTACAGTCTCATTTCTTAAATAACTAACCTCATAGGCCACACCAAAATTAAGGCAATATTTCTTATAAGCTAGTTACATAAATAAACAAACTTATTTTTACGTGTATCAATTTCTACAATTTTGACCTCATCTTACAGCCCATTACACTGGTGCTAAGAGAGCTCTGTCACAATAAAAGTTTACATGAGAAGCCAAAATCAGTTCCTCAATTTGCAGTAACTAATCCAAGAGAATTTAATTCAGCTGTTGCCAGTGTCCAACACAACAACTAATAGTTGTGGTGTTTCAATTTACAAACTTTACACCTTTCCATGCAGCCAAAAACTATTCCCACCCAGTCTTAGATATCTCTTTTCCCCAGTAACACTTCAATACAACAATCATGTTTTAAAGTCTAGATATCAGAGATTCTACCCCTTTTATCAGAGCCTGAGCCTTTAATTATGCTTCATATAGGCATCGTCTCCACGTCAGGATGGCTTGGTAGGAAGGATGGATTCTTTTTTCCTCAGTTTATTCCTCTTTTCCAGTCCAAGCTGCTTCTGCTTTTGTCTGCCCCCTCTGCTCAGCATAACCTTGCTCTCCTCCCCCAGACAGAGTACACCTGAGCCAAACTCAAGCCACCACACTCAAAAGTGTGTAGGACTGAGCCTCTCTGGCACAGGACTGTGCTTTACCCACCTGCGAGGGGTAGAAGAATCTGTTTCTCTCCTACATCATGTATTGTACAAGGAGATGCAGAAAACCATGTCTGTCCCATGGATGAGAACTGGAGAAGCTCGTACAAGTGCATGTAACTGTATCTCCTTTCTACTCAGGTGGAAAAGGATATAATGGCAGGGATGCCACAAAGGGCACATACTGACGAGTCTGACTAACCTAGATGTCTACATATCCCTTTGGAAAAGGCACGTGCAATTCCCCCCCTGTAAAAACAGCTCCCTGTGGGACCATCTTCTCATTAGTCCACATGCTAAAATCCCCCCTTGGTCCAGCCTTCTCAAGTGCTTTGTAAAGCAGGCAGCTGCTTACTCTGCGTGACTGTGGACTTGAGTGAATGAGCAAGCACTATTGGACAAATAACAGAAACAAGAAAATGTGGCCAAGTACTACAGGGTATGAGATAAAACAGATCACCTCTGCCCTCCCCTTTTCCTAACAAGTCAGGCACCCAAGGACAAATGTTACGCTTCTGCTGAAGATTGACAAGTTTCCAAAGTGCTTTTTGTTTCTTGTAAGATCCTCCAAACTTTGTTAAGCCAAACTCCTAAGCTCAAAGTATTGTTGCACACTTCTTTTGACTACCTTCTCCAATTACGAACAAATGGCAGTGTTTACAGACTTGAAAACTTGCCAGTTAGCAGGCCCAGAGATTCTCTTTTAAGAGTAAATTGCAACACATACATATTTTTATACTTATTATGAAACTATTCTATGACCTCTCCTGCACTGTAAATGCCACAGAAGAGTACAGAAATGAAAATTCAAAACATTTCCAATGAAAAATGATTAGAGTACTAAATCAGATTAATAAAATTGGAAGCAACTGGATTGCCAGATATTCTTCTGGGAAGTAATTGTGCCTTCAAATACTTTGAAACTCTGGTAATTATAGTAAGTGATTATGTGACTACACAGCAGTTCAAGGAACTGCAGAATTAGTGGGAAGAAAAACAGCTGTAGAAGGTCAAGTGGCTGCACTTGAAAATTTCCTATTTTGAAAAATCCGCTACTAGAGAGCATTTCTGGAATGCTTTGACAGTAATTCATTTGGAGAATGCAACTGTCAGCTCCCCATGCTCAGGGGACAGATTAATGATTTAGATCTAGAGCAAATTGTTTGCAGATTCAAGAGTATTGCCAGTTTATTACCAGCTGAGATCACATATTTCAGATTCAAGGATTTCAGATCCCAGTCTGGCAGGGAACTCATACTTCATTTAGCCACTAGAAGAACCCTGGTACTTCCCTATCTGTCTCATAGCCTCCTTCTTGCCTTTTCCAAAAGGTGTCTCTGCCTTACAAGTAATCATCTCTGAGCTTTGGTTTTCCTGCCAAAAACTCAACTATAGTCCCTTCATAGAATACAGAATCGTAGAATGGTTTGGCTTGGAAGGGACCTGCCACAGGCAGGGGCACCCCCTACT